TCTTGATTTTCTTTCTCTTCCCTCTAGCGTAAATCCTCAGTTCCCTGCTTCCCAAATCATGATCACCAAAGGATATATTAAATGGCCGAGAAAGACAGATGGTTCTCCCATTTGGTAAACTGTCAGGGTCTAAAATGAAACAAGTTATACCTTCACTGATGCCAAGATTTTTCAATTCTTCTGCCTTTCTCCCTGCCCTGCTTTTGAGAGCCTAATCAGAATGTCATGCTCTGGTTTTACACTTCCCAAAATGTGAGCTTCTTTGGCAAGCTGCTAGAGTTGCTGATATTACTTTTAAATAACAAAAGCATTCTCTTCATTCAGCTCAACTCCTCTGCAATCAATGGCATCCTGATGTTGGGAGTCTTCTTTTGCAAATAGGAACTGTATCATAAAGGAAACCCATAGAGGACTAATATTTGACTTTTCAAGGAACACAGAGAAGGCCAAGCACAACCCCAAAGATTTCACCAAGGGCTTTTCTGTAAATGCTAATAGAGGCAATTCAGAGGCACCAACAAAGAGAACACAGGCGATACGCTGCAGGTGTGAGAAGCTTGAAACAAGAGGGATACTAACCCTTAATGGTATTTCATGTCATTAACTATTCTTTGATGTTCACACACTCAGGGCTCTCTTTTATCTGGTAGGGTGGGATTCTCTTTTTCTCCGTGCCTCCTTCAGCTTTCTTTGTTAACACACAGCACAACTGCATCTTTACAATTCCTTCTAGCTTTCAAACACCTCTGCAAAGTGCTTCTAAGTTAGTTTCCACAGCATCTTTGGATACTACGATCAAGTAACTAAGAGAAAGCTTATTGATTAAACTGAAAAAACAGGTCAATAAAAACAAAACTTAATGTTACTTTTATAAGATTCCTATAGTGGGTCTTGATGATTAACATAACCGGTAACAATTATCCTTGCAATTTTATTTCAGTGGTTCTGAGGATACGATCTCTGTATTTTCCTTTCCTTCATTAACAGACACTTCAAATAAGCACTCTTGTTATCAAAGGTCTCAGAACAGAGTCCATTAACATTATCTTCCGTTTAGAAAAGAGACCCTTTAAAACTAAAGATTAATGGCCAACAGATTCTAGGTAGCAAATCTGTATTTTTTATTCCTTCAAATCTTGGCTGATCCTAAAGAAGCAAAGCAGGAATAGATCTGGTTAGCACAGGGATAGGAGACAACAGAAAAGCCCAGGAGCATAGGCCAGGAAGAAAGAAAACAACAACAGCAACCCTGGATAATGACAATAATAAACCAGTTTCTTTGCACTTTTAAAGAAATAAATCCAGTAGAAGAGTTGAGTGAGCAGATCTAAGAAAATGGAGAAGCCCTTTCTTGGCCACTGAAATATATTTTGCTCTTTAAAAGAGAGCATCTGTTTCCCTCAACTGAAAATGCAGTCATATTTCAGTTGAATTATTTACATTTAGAAAGCCAAAAATCTCTCAGCACCTATTTACTGGTCGTTGCTGTGGATACAATAGGAGGAGGAAGGAGCATTATGTCTGTTCATCACCTTGAGTCGAGGTGGCTTCCCTGTTGCTGTGACCAAAGCCTCACCTGCTTTCTCTGTGTGTCACACAGACAGAGACCACTGGAGACGTCATCTTGACTTTCCTGACCCCACTCTGTGGATATTATTTGTAGCCGCTTCAGGACACCCCAAAGCTACCCCCCTCCCCCGAGGAAGTAGCTTCACTGTGCATAAGGGTGGGATAGGTGTCAGTCAGAGTGGGCAAAATTATGCTAAACAGACCGATACAGTAATTGCACTTTTCAAGGCAGATTGTGTTGCTTCTCTCAATGTTTGCACAAACACCAATACACTTTGCATTAGCATAAAGTTACCTTTGTGTATAACTAATCATCTTTGAACCCAAGAGCTCCCCTTCTGATATTTTCAACTGAAAAATGTGGTCACAAAAATATCCTCACTGAACATTACTTGAATTATTTAGATGGTAAATTCAATATTGTTTTATAATAGCTTCAATCAATTTGTTTTATTTATCTCTGCATTTTTTACTGGTCAAGTCCCCCCCACTATCCCAGAAGCTATGTTTTTATTTTGAAAAGGAGTTTTGAACTAGGAAACATGTGCTCTGACTCACTACGTGTCATTCCAAGCTACAAACATCTTAGCTACATTCTTGTATGTTTTTACTTGATCATTAAAAGAAAGAGGAAAGGGAAAGAAAAGAACAGAACTGAATTATCACTAACATTGTTCTAAGTAAGGTCTGAAAAGGAGCATCAAAGATATCATGGTGGTGATTTATACAATTCAATGGGAATTTCCGTAAGAGATACTCTGCCAACCTTGGCGCATGCAACCAGACTTTCTCTGATAACCTTAGCAATTTCACAAATTTGTCACAGTAAAGTTTCCTGATCCAAAATTGTTCAAGGGCTTTATGCCAAATGTAAAATCATTGGCTAATTGTAATAGAAGAGAATATCTGTAGCACATGATTAAACTTTGGAGTCCTTGGTGCTATCTGAAGTTGGTTGTTTGCTTGCAGATATTTCATCCAACTAGGAAGCATCATTAAATGTCTGCAAGCAAACAACCAACCAACCTAAGAGAGCACCAAAGACTCCACGTTAGCTAATTGGCAGCTGGAGAGATGCTTTCACAAATGGACATCTGCATGACCAATTGTTCTTCTCAGGAACCCACCACATTCTGCTCTCTATGCAGGCTTCAAATCAAACACAAGAGTAGTCCCACATAGAGTGTATGCAGTAATCTAACCATGAGGTTAGATTACTAACCTCATGGTTAGTAATGAGAACATTAAATTGAACATTAACAATGGTAACTTGACTGCAGTTCAGGAAGGACAGAACAAGACAACATACTATTCAAGTTAGAAAATTTAAAGAAATCCTTGTTGGTCACAATTGACAGAGCTGAGCCGCTTATAGATCTGGTCTTCCCAATAATTGAGCCTCTTACTTCTCCCCCAGAGGGCAAGGGATTGCATGAATATGAGATTATAGCAAACAAAGCCATGATCCACAGGGGCCATTAGAGGTCCCAGTAGAGATGGAGATGCTATCATCCTTATGTGAATATCCTATGATACCTTCAGCACCAAAGCAAGAGATTGAGAGAGGACCCAATGCCATCATCTCAAAGTTGAATGAAGCATGACCTAATAACTCCTTGCCCTACACCTAGAGAAGAGGCACTGGAATGGCAAGCTCTGTTAGCTGGTGCTGAAACCTCTTACTCTGAACAAGTTCCTCAGGAGTCTACACAGGACTTAGATGGGACTCACATCCCCCCTTTTAGAGAAGGCCAATTTCATGCATGATGACACCTCAATCCATTGCAACAACTCTACAACTTCCCTTTGTATAAAGCAAATTTCCTGATGAGCTGCAAAAGATGACCCTCTTTCCCTTATAATCTGGAATATAGTGGGTTGGACTATTCCATTAAACGACCAACTCTTTTTTTTTTTTTTTTGACTGCAATTCAACAAGGGACAAAGTTGACAATGGTGGTTGCTTGGACCTCTTGTGACCTCAGTGGAGTTATTTTTGAGAAAACATAATTGGGATTGAATTGATAAAACATGACAAGCAATGTGATCCTCAGAATCAAGTCCCATTAAATTCAGTGGTGGTTACACTCTAGCAAGTATGTTTAGTATTCAGCAAGAAAGGAAGAGCTTGTTCACAAAACCATATCTGAACTGTAGAGTAATGAAAAATAATCAAGGAGAGAAGCAACCTAGAACTAAGGAGAAATTTGCTGACAGTTAGAACAATCAATTAGTGGAACAACTTGCCTCCAGAAGTTGTGAATGCTCCAACACTGGAGGTTTTAAAGAAGAGATTGAGCAACATTTGTCTGAAATGGTACAGGGTTTCCTGCCTGAGCAGGGGGTTGGACTAGAAAACCTCCAAGCTCCCTTCCAATCCTGTTATTCTGTTATTCCGAGTTTGTGCAGCTGGGCAAACCCATGCTGGAGAGGATAACTCTGGTGATTAGACATACTGATCACCCAATCCTCTGATACCAGAGGCAGCGTCAGGCACAAGAAATCAGGAAGCAAGGCAGTTCATATGAATACAGGTTTATTGCATGCTATCAGGCAGTTTATTTATGAATGCTAGTTGCTGGGAAAATTTAGTGGGAAAGCATTGCCTCTCTCCTATCCTGCTGTGAACTTTTGAAGTGGTAGCTGGTTGGTTACTGAGCAAGCAAAATGCTGGACTAGATAGGTCCTTGTCCTAATGCACCCAGTTTTTTTATGAGAATAAGGGACAACAGAATTTGATTTTCTGTGGTCATATGAAGTAGTTGCTCTTGCTTGGGTTTTAAGCTTTTGCTGCTTCAATTCAAAACAACAACTACAAGGTGCTAATTTAAGTGCTTTCATCATATGTCATTAAGTCTTTTACTACATAGGCTTTTGATATGCTTTTCCTTCTCTTCTGGGGAAAATAAGACCCCCATGCCCTATCATTGAATTCTTTTCTCACAAACACACACAGACACACACACAAACACTGTCTATATATTGCATTTTAAATGGATGGTAATGCTCTCCTGTTTTGGTGGACTAATCTTCCTTGCATTACAAATTAAGGTACCATGTCTGTGGTTGTGTGATTTGTGATATCGCTTTCCTCTTTCCCTCTATTCCAAAGCGACCAATGGTACTCAACCTTTTCTTTACCACAGACTCCTCTTTAAATTCCTTTTGTGGCCATGGAGTATGGCCATGGACCACCAAGACTTAACACAAGATTCAAATCATAACATTTCTTCAAGACTTTGTGGACCCTCTATGATGACATTGTGCAGATCACCATTTGAGAACCACTGCAGTAGGCTGATTGAGTAGCATAGCAGATACCACTATTTGGCAGATCTGCTCTTAATATATACATATGTGCACATTATACAACCCTATGTACACATCCATATGTCAGCTAGAAAATGAGAAACACATCTTGGGTTCCTTACCAGCCTCACACTGATGAGTTAGGGAGCAAAAGTTCAGCTTTGAAAGGGAGTAAGGGGTTGAAATGTGTTGTCTTCTTCTGTGATAGAATCTACCACTGATAATGACTTGTAATACTCATCTTCCCAATCCAGCACTTTTATTTGACTAAGAAAAATTAAAACAAAATAAAGCATTATAAATGGCACGTCATATCTCTAGGTATTTTTGTTTAATTGGTACAAGACATGCCTTGATCTGAGAGAGTGGAGGAGCAAACATTATTTTGAGGTGAATATCTAACAGAGCTGGTGAAGAATCTAGCTTTCCTACAAGACCCAAGTGCATAGCATTTCTCATAACAACAAATCTATATCAATTCCGGATGCTTACTCAGCATGATAGAAAGCTCTGGCTTTGATTTATAGTAATTTCAGATTTTAATTAGGTGAACTGTACTCTCAGCTAGGCATGAATCTTCACCATATCACTTGTTAGGTGGGAGAATCCTGGGAAACCCATTTTGATCTCTACTCTGATACATAATATAGATATAGATAAGATACATAACCTCTGATTATTATAGCAGTAAAGAGCATAAGAAACATAAATCACAGCTTTAGAACAGCTCAGATACTTCTTATTTCACGAAAGATAAAGTTGTCAATGGCTTCTATTATCTCCTGAAAGAGGATGCCTCTTTGACACCAGTTGCTGGGAAACACATGTGGAAGAGAGCTACCGCTCCCAAGTTCTGGTTATGGGCTTCTTAAAAGCAGCTGGTTGGTTTTATGATCTCAGCCACCAGATCTTTTCTTATATCCAGATAGGTCTGTTCATGATATATTTTCAGTAACATCTTCAAGCGCAATAAGACTTCCTTCTAAGATTAAAGTTGTTCCTTTGACATCCATGACAAAACTTCCAAACAGTGACAGAAGGCCTAATGTGCATACATGGATAACGTAACTTAACATTTGTTTGTTTGGATAGTTTCAATTTGGTGGGCAAGTTCTAGAGAACTATCAGTGGTGCATACATGGATAACATACATGGATTTATTTAACTATAAGCCACAGGACAAACTTAAAGCACAGTCTATATTTGATACGGCTATTCAGAGCTCAAGCTAAATTATATTCAAGTGTTTAGCATGCTTTATTGTCTAGTATGATTCTGGTATTGCCATAAATAATGCAGAGGCCATTGCATCATGATTTTCCCTATAAAAAGAGAGAAAAAAGTCTCTTTATAGTGTGGTCTTTCCCAAGCCTTCAGGTCTTCTGGGCTACACTGTTCATTATTTCCAGCCAGCACGTTCAAAGATGTAGCTCAACATACTTAGCGACATAATGCTTGTCACCATAATAATAAAATGAATGCCACATAAATAAGCAGCCTTTGCAACAAGAGCCAGGAAAGAATAGCCAAGAACTGCTCTTTGTGGAAACATATGACCTTCCTTCTTATCTTTCCCCCTCCAGCTAGTTTATGCTGTGGATCAGGAGGATTTCTGAATTGCTGTCCCTCCTGTCACGTCTGGGTTCACAGTCTGCAGGTCTTTACTTTGACAAGACCCACCACTGGCTACTTTTAGCAAATTCATTGTGAAACGAACTGCCTGCATTTTGCTGTGAAGCATATCCCCCCACCCTCCCGGGAAAGACTGTTTCCCCCATGTGTATACAGCTCACATTAGACGCACACTTTCCTTTTGCATCAGTAGCAAAATGCCCACAGCTGCTATAAAGAGAAAAAGCTTGCTGTTGATTTTCAGAAATTGCTCTAGAAAGTTTGCGCCTTTCCTGTAATCTCACAAAGGATTTCTTCTGTTTACTGTTGCTTAGAACTAAGAAGATGGATATTTACCCAAGTTTTCTTGGCTTCCTTTTGCTCCCTTGATATCCTAGAGTTCCCTGTGGAGAGGGCCAAGAACACACAGTCAAAGCAAAGCAGCAAGTCGTTAATTTTTAATTCAAAGTGATTTTGTGTTGAATGCAAGCAGATGCTGATAATATCAGAAGTCACAGCATAATTTTTTTGATCAAAGGGCTCAAGTGAGCCTGATGAAGCATGCATCTTGCTCGTCTTTGATAAACCACATCAATTATTCACCGTGAAGGCAGACATCCTGACATGAAAGCAACAGATAAAGAGCATAAGCACATGTTCAAGACGAGAGCTGAAGAACTCTGGGGTGGGAGTGGGGAGAGGGCACTGGGGGTGGGGTGGGGCTGGTAGGCTTAGAACAGGTATTAATACCAGAATTATTAATGGGAAACAAAGAGAGTAAAACAGCTGTACGGCCACTTTGAACTTACATTTAACTGGTTATAATATATGTTATCCTCAGGGCTATTCAGCACTTTGGGCTGCTGACATCTTCGACGGGGTAGTTTCTGCTTCTGTTCAAGGCAGTTTTCTGAAGGTAAAAAGAGATAGTGCCGTTTTAGGTCTTGGTAGGGCCAAGTATTGCAAGCAACTTTCTATTTGGGAGTCAGCATATTTCTTTCTTCTGTTATACACATTTCTGGATTTACTAACTTCGGTCATTTCCCCATGTCAGTAGAAATGTAAGGATATTGGATACATTGGAAATGTAAAAAAAAAAAAAAGCATTAATTTGCTGTATTCTGTATTGAGATATTGAGAGCAAAACACACACATGCATCTTTGAATGACGGGATAAGAACTATAAATAACCTTGCTACTTATTAAGCAGTAAGCTATGATATCTGTCATCCCAGACATAGAAGTGAAATTGAAGCAGATACAAAGAAGGCATGTGTTTCTAGCTCTGTAAGAATGCGTTGAATAAACCTTCGGCTGGTACAAAATGCGGCCTTGTGGGCAACCTTGGGTACCCAAAGAATGTAATACCTCTACTGCACAAGCTGCATTGGATGCTGGTCTGCTTCCAAGTTCAACTCAAAATATTGGTGATGAGCTTTAAAAGTCCTACATGGCATGGGGCCAGGTTATATCAGTTTGCCCTACCTGATCAGACAGGGAAGTATGTTGCAGATCCCATCAGCAAATGAATTCTGATTGGCAGGGTCCAGGAAGAGAGCCTTCTCTGCAGTTGTCCACACCCTGTGGAAACATTCCCCCTGGAGGTGAGGTTCCCTCCCCCCTCTCTTGGCCTCCCATAAAGGCATAAAATCATGGTTCTGTGCCCTTCTTAAATATGATAAATAATAAATAAACACATGACAGTTTTTTTTCAGTATTTTGGAATCACACCTCTGAGAAATTCATAGCTTTACTACTATATACTGAAACAGTGAGACATTGGAAAATTAACACAATATGTAATTTGAACTGGCAGTACAAGAATACATTTTGGTGCTCCAAAGGTTGCTTTCTGCTCCTTTTTAAAATAAAATGTTTTAAAGCTAACTCTGGAGCAGTATAACAATTAATTTAGAAAGTGGCATTTCAAGAAATGGCAACAAGAACGACAGACAAAAATTGTGTTGCTGGATCAAAGGAATGATTTTTGCAACAATCAATTGCAAATACCGAAATTAGAACATGGCGATGTTGCCCATTTATTGTTTGATTTCACAGGTAAGCTGCTTTTAAATGCAAAGGAAAAAAATGTAAAGTGAAGTGGCTTAAGTTATAAATACAAACACAAAGACACCCATGGGTTATTTCCTTCTTTTGTGCAAGCCTCAAAAAAGACACAACAGTTTTAGTTAATTCAATTCAATTGAGTCAATTCCTTTAAAGTGTGCTGTGCACATTTTGAAGCATTTCTGAATCATTTTCAGAGAATGCAAAGTCCTATTGTTTTGTTCCTTCCAAACCTCAGTCTTAATTCATACAAATGTCAGCAAATGGAATTACTGCAATACAGTCAAGTGTCTACTCTTTTAAAAAAGTACACATGAACTGGAGTTCTTCTTCCACATCAGTGATTCCCAATCTTGCAACTTCTAAGTCCCAGAGTTCCCTTGCCTTCATGATATAGGTGAGAATTCTGGGAGTTGAAGTCCCACCACCACCTGGTCAGAACCTATCCTCCATCTCCCCGCCCCCTCAGAACGGATGAAGTTTCTTGGATGAGAAACAAATTTCTTCTTCTTCCTCAAGGAAAAAACAGTCCAGTCGCCTTTTGAAAAAGCACTTTTGAGACAGCTATGACCTGGATGACTGAGAATCTCCACAGTCATACGAAGAGACATCTTAATGGATTTTATCTCCTAGTTCAACCTCAAATAGCAACCTAACAGATGGATGTCCATCCTCTGCTTGACACCTCCAAAGAAAGGGGAGCTCAGCCTAGCCCACTACGGGGTGTGTATCACTCTGAATAATGGTTCCGGTGTCAAGTTATGGCTATTTTTAGCAAATCTTTGCACTGAATTTCATCCAATCATTTTTAAAACTTCATTGTCAACAGTTTCAAGATGTGACTAAAGAGGAAGCATTATATAAATATATTGAATAAAAACATAATAAGTTTGCACTTTGTGTAAACGTCTCTTGTATTCCTAACTGTGCGACTGAGCACATACCATATTACATCCTGTGAATATCCAACAAGTGCTTTGCAGCCACATTTCGAAGCAGGACCCTAAAAAGCCAAGAGTCAACTGTTGAGTTGTTAGAAATAAAATTAGCATTTGTTGAAATCTTCTCTGCTCATTTCTCTGTTTTGCAACTGTTGCTGCCATTTTGTGAGCAATGTTTTTTTTTGATATCAAAATGATGAATTGAGAGCAGAAAGCACTATTCTCATTCTGACAGAGTTTTGGACCTAATCACACATCTCAATGGCCTTGATGAGGAATTCAAATCCAAAGTAGATAATGTTTTCTACAGTGGTATTTGTTGAGTAAAGGTAATATCACCAACAGCAGGAGCAGGATTGCCACTGCTAGTTAATTTTATCCTTATTTTGCCCTATTTGCAGCTTCTTAACAAAATTACAAAGATGTCACACACCCACTTTTCTGAATAGGAAATTTTGATTCAGTTATAATGTGCTGCAGTTTTTCAAAATTCCTTTAAGGCTTATTGCTTTAAGATTATAGTGAAGAGATTTATGCTAAAGCTTTAAGCTGAAATTTTGCTTAGTAGACTGAGACATTTCTGTATGATAGCATGTTAAAAATAAAAATTTAAATATAACTTTGAGAAAGATTCTGTCTCTTCTACCAACGTGTAATAAAAGTTTATAAGAATGACAACTTAGGGATAGCAAATAGGAGCAGGAGAAATGAAAAAGAATTAGATACCAACACTACAATACAGTATTGTTGATATTAACTCTTGTTGTTAATATTCAAGTTGCTATTCAAGTTGTAATATTCAATTACTTTATTCCTTATATGGCCTATTTATAGACCAAGAAGTTCCTACTCCATTTTGGCAGCCTTTGAATAACAACTTGAATTCAGTCATAAAAGACCAGCATTTTATTACCTGAAATTAGTCATTATCCAATTTAATTATTGGAAACATCTTCCTAATAGTCTTATGTCAATGAAAGGGATCATATACCTTCTTTTTAAAACCCTCAGGTATTGTAGTAGAATGCATTTCTTCTTTTTGACAGTACAATATTGACAAATTACGTTACAGGAGAGAAACAATTGACAGGGGAAAATTCTATTTCCTGAATAATAATAAAAGAACAATATAAAGACATGTCATATTTTCAAGACAGACATGCTTTTTCTGTATCTTGCATACTAAATTAACAACTTTATATTTGGGTAAGTGTGATTATACACACAAGGAATTCGTCTCCGGTGCAGAAGCTCTCAGCATACATGCAAAGCAACAAAATAATGATAATCACAACAATTATAACAACAATAAGACGGGATAATAAGGATAAATAATAATACTACAGCCCTACTACATGGGTAAATATGCTTAAGCATAAAACAATACTGTGGGAATTAGGTGTTCATCAGAGTGATGACCCAAGGGAAAAAAACTCTGTGTCTAGCTGTTTGGCTTTCAGTACCCTTTAGGGGCGTCCCAAAACAAGGAGTTGAAATACTTTATGTCCAGGATGTGAGGGGTCTGCAGGTATCTTCTCAGCCCTCCCTGTGACTCGCATAATATACAGGTCTTCTATGGAAAGCAGGCTGGTTGCAATTGTTCTTTCTGCAGTCTTAACTATCTGTTGGAGTCTGTACCTGTCCTGTTTGGTTGTATGCCAAAGCAGACAGTTATAGAAGTACAAATGACAAGACTCAATAATTAATCTGTAAAACTGTATCGACAGCTCTTGGGGAAGTTGGAATTTCCTGAGTTGACGCAGGAAAAACGTTCTTTGTTGTACCTTTTTAATGATGGTTCTAATATTAAGTGTCCATTTCAAGTCCTGGGAGATTATAGAACCCAAACATTTGAAGGACTTCACTGCTGATACTGTGCTGTTCAATATGGTAAGAGGTGGTAAAATAGTAGAGCTCCTCCTAAAATTCACTCTCATCTCTATAGTTTTAAGTATGTTCAGTTCCAGATAGTTACAACTGTATCACAGGACCAGTTATTCAACATCCCATCTATATGCAGACTCATCACCATGTTGAATAAGACCAATGACTCTGTCTGTCTGTCCATTATCTATCTATCTATCTATCTATCTATCTATCTATCTATCTATCTATCTATCTATCTATCTATCTATCTTCTCTCTCTAAATTTGAGGTGGTTTTATATCAGTGAATTATCATAATATGTTATGGTCCAGAAACTATCATGAGATTCTATTTTAAAGGTATTTATTAAGTTTAAGAACTAATGATATTAGTTGGTATGTATTTATACCTAAAGGATAAAAACCATAACATGACAATATTGTCTGTTGTATGTAAAATCAAAGCAACAAACATTATGAACACTGTTATAATTTGAAATTGAAAAGCAGCATCCTAAGGACCTTTTTGAACCTTTAAAGAGGAATCAATTCTGAAGAGTAGAAGCAAGATGGGAGCATGTTCTGAGGTGGCCATTTTGACCCAAGGAAAAACTTAGTCACCCGATTGCATGGTGAATTATTGAGTACACAACATGAATCTTAATCAATTTATTCAAATAATTGAATAATTATTTTCAATTCAAACTGATACTGCAGAAGATCAGCAGTATCAGTTTGAATTGATAATATTTCAGAAAGTCCAGCCAATGTAGAGAATTGGCAGAACAAAAAATAATAAAATTTTAAATAAATTTTTAAAGAAAAAATTAAAATATAAATAAATCAGGAAATGTTCAGAGAGTCAACAAAGCCTGTCAATAAACTACTGCATATTTTGGTGGTCCAAATCAGACACCACCAATCATCAACTATTTGGCTGTTTCAATAGTAAGAAATATAAAGCATCACTGACACAGAGTATAGATTGTTACGGTTAATATGGTTATTATTTTTTTATTTTTTATAAACTACTTTAA